TTTTTATTTTTATATTCTCATAAAAACGGGGTGTTTTTGCTGGGAATTTTTTTTTCTTGTTTGGTCACTTTATTTACAAAATGTGCGCCACGTGATCTAGAGAACTACGCAACACAGAACACTTCTGAAAACGGGAGGATAATCTCCCGACAGTGGAGATTGACCGATGCACATTTTCTCTCAAATAAAGGTCCATATTCGGCGCCCTAAGCTACACAAGTGGAAGAAAAATGTGTTTGGACTTAGATAATTATTATTGTCATTTTTGTCTGGTGTCATTTAATCAGAGAACGAAAAATAATTTCTTTTTGTTTTTTAAATTTTCTTCATTGTTCTTTTATATTATAAGCAGTTCAAAGAGTAAATCAAAGCAAAAAATGCAATGCTCACAGCCTACTCATAGGATGTGCTTGGAGCAGTAGGTTCAGTCAGAGACGGAGTCTGTCTACATAGCAACTTGTGCGCAGCGCAATTACAATCTAGTTATGTCGTTAGACATTATGTGTTTTTGCAGGAATTTTAGTCATTTTTTTACAAAATGTGTACGACCTGATCTAGCAAAGTACACATCGTAAAAAAGTTCTGAAAACTGGAGGACAAACTCTCGACATTGGAGATTGATCAATGCACGTTCGTTTTTCAAACTAAGTCCAGATTCAGCGCCATAAGCTACACAAGTAGAATTAAAATGTTTTTTTGGACTTAGAAACTTTTCGTGTATTGTCGTGTGACTGTTAAGTATATTTAAGCATTGTTTGAGCACTGTTGAGTACATTTTTTAATAATCTCTCTGTCTCTGTTAATATGACCAGTGTCTGTCGACATTATAACTTGTGCGCAGTACAATTGCATTCTAGTTTGATTGTTTTACTTGAAAATAAAAATTTATCAAGTAGTATAGTACCGCACTCAGATGAATTTTAACCTTGTAGACACTTTTGTTTAAATATTCGTCTAAATTCATAAATTCAGTCAACGTCATATAACAAAAATGCTAGATGTTGTAACATCAACAATAGGAGGAATATATACATCGGTTCCACCAACAGTATAACAGAATTTTCTACATTTTGTTGCTCGCACACGAATATAAACATTTTCATGATATTTCTTTCTCCTTTTTCTCACTCTTTATTTTGTTTTCTTCCTAATTATTTATAAATGATTAGATTCATTACCTACTTATCAAATAAATGTTCTTCAGTAAAACCTCTTTCTATACTGTCACAATCTTTAGCAGAATTCCCGCGATATCTCGTGTAATTCCGACTAGGATCTTGATGCGGACGGAACTTTCTGAGATCTTGGCTGGAAAATGTCAGGATTAAAGACATGGATTGAATACTTTCTGACAGACTTATATCAATGGTTTTAACTGTATTGTACAATGTGTGTTGTACCTGCATATTGACACTCGGAGGAAGGATACCAAACAAAGAGTCCGTTTTTATTTATTAGAACATTCATATTCAGAAAATAAGTCTTTGATTAAATATGCTTATCTGAAACTTTTCGTTGAAATCACAACCTAGAACTGAAGAGTAAGATGGATAACTATTGTGCTTCATTATAATAGTTTTGTTTTTTCTAACATCATTCGCTTCAATTTCTATAAAATCTGTCAAGAAAATTGTGACCCGAAATTATGTGTAATAATCGGAGAGATGCTGGCCTTAGATGCAAACTAGGTTTCAAACTCTATACAATATTCTGTTCGATCATAGTGACATCTAGCTGTAATTCAATTAATTTGATTAATCAATATCAATAATTTTTGATTATTCAAAACAAAAATCTTTCGCTTTTAAATGAAGCCATTTTCATTTATCAATAAATTGTCCCATTTCTGTATCTTGATAATATTGAACACTCGAAAAAATTTTATCGTTTTTTCAAACATGTTATTATTATAAAATTTAAATTAGAACTATTTTTTTTCATTTCTTTCATGGCTTTTTGAAAATTTCAAAATAATGACATCATATTTTTCAAATGTTTGAGTTTTGTGCGCTCTCAAAACATATTTATTCTATAGAACTTTTGCAAGTGTAAGCATTCATTTTATTTAAAATAAAAAGAAAAATTTGACTTTAAAAATTGAATGGATATGTGGTGGCAACGCAAATGATTTTTGATTTTTAAATCTATATTTACATCTACATACGAAAGAGGCGATTATTGTCTTAAAAGAATAACAAAATAAAGTTCATTTTTTTCTTTTAAATAAAATTTTAAAGAAAGAAAAAAATTGTCTTTAACTACTAGATGTAGATAATATATGATGGACATGAAAAATGCTCGGATAAAAGAAAGAAAACTTTAGAATATAATCGACCACTTGACTCAAGCAATCATTATCTTAAATATAATATATATATATTCTTTGTCTGTTCTTCTATACTCTTTGTTTATTCTTATTTGAACTTTTAAAATCATAAAACTGAGCGATTTTAATTGAAATAAACATATATACAAGTAACTATACACTTATTATTACTATTGTATGACTAATTATATAATTATATTATATTTGAGAGGATTCTTGACTACATGTGCTTTATTAGATTACTGATTACTCGTATTTATATATAGATGAATTTTAATTCATTTTATTCTAAAATATGTAAGAAATACTGTTAAACAAACTATTAAAAGTTTTCTGTAGCTACAGTTTTTATAAAATTTATTGAGCAAAGAAAGATGATGAATGCATAGAAAACCTGAGTACAGTTGCGCGCAAGACAACCATGTTTTTAAACTGGAAGACATCGCTCATTTGGTAAAGAAATTATTTTGGACGTGAAAATAATTGAGCCTAGAATGGATTAATTAGTTGACAAAAGACAGAAATGACAGCGCGTAATTCAAAAAATATAAATTCTCTGCTCTTTCGAACACATATGAATCCGTTTATAATTGCGTTTTCGTAAGTTGTTTGTGTATAATTGAGCCCGGACTAAAGTATATCTGTTGAATGAATGACATACGTGATTCTGTATGTGGCCCATTGTCTTTCATATTACTTTTTGACAAGAAAAATGTACTTGTTACCAACAAGCTTCGTGTTTTCTACTGTGAAAAAATATATAGATATGCTACTGTACAAACAGCTTTATCTTACGTTGAACTGCTTTTATTGCATAAGAAACTATGGGCAGAAATTACAGGCCTGTGGGACCAAACTTTTTTGGTCCCGGTCCCCGTGAAGAAAAAAAATTTAGGTTCTAGTCCCGTGGAAAGAACTCGTTTTTGATCCCGATCCCGTAGTTTGTAAGTATTTTTCAAAGTAGTGCTGATAGTTTGAAAGTCAGCGCATTGTAATGTGGCTCGTGGAGCAGTATGCGTGGGTGGTATTAATTGGAGACTTTTAGAATTTTCTGTGAGTTCTTTCTCGCAGAACTGGTGTCTCCATACAAACAAGCACAGAAACTAAGAAATTTTGATGCTCCATACAAGACTATTTTCAAAAAAACCTGGTCTCGGTCGCAGTCCTGCGGGACCAGGACCATCCCGCAGGACTGGAACCGTCCCGCAGATCTCTAGGTCCTGGTCCCACTGTAGAATTACACTGTAGAAAATAAAGCGTGCCCAAAACACACTGAACATACACATCACTTTAATTCGCATTTGTGCATCTAGAAATGCACGATGTGATGTGCCAGAAACACACTGGCAAAATTTACACACCTGGGAACATACAAAGAGTTTTACACACCTAGAAAAAAACATACTAGTTTGTTTTACATTAGTATAACTCACTTAAAACTTTTACACATCTACAGACACACTTTTTTTTTCTACAGTGTAGACTGTTCGGGCTCAATTGTACACGAACAAGTTAGGAAAAGGCAATTATAAACGGACTCATGTGTGTTTGAAAGAGCAGATAAGTTACAGTTTTTGAATTACGAGTTTAGTTCTGTCTTTTGTCGACTAATTAATTCATTTCGGGCTCAATTATGAAATTTTTCAATTATTTTTCTCTTATAAAATGCTAGTGTAAAAGAGAGCAATAAATATTGTTAAAAGCATATCTTTTAAATTTGAAAATACTATCCATCTTTCTACACTTAAATAATCATAATCCGAACAACATTAAACAAATATTCTTTGATTCGAAATAGATGATTCACACTTTACAACGAAACGTTTATTTCAATTAAAAAAATACATATGTTTTTAACAAATAAGAAAATAAGATTATAATAAGAAATTTAATCCGATTTATTCTGTTCAATTACATATTTTATGCGAAAATCATTATAATAGTATTTTATTTTTCGAAAAATATTTAAATGTATTCAAAACGTTTTCTGTTACAGAATTTGAAAAACAATGCCATCAACTTTGCGATATAAAAACAACTAAAATAAATTTTATTTCATAAACACTTTTTCGTTAAAAATAAAAGCTCAAGTGTTAAAAACTTGAACTAACCCTCACTACGCGTATAGTCATCAGGACTCTTTTTCTGTAATTTTCTTCTCATCAAAGTATTTTGATGCTGTTCGACGTATATATTCTCAACTGTATTGAAAGAAAAGACAATCTCGAGATGTGCGCGCGTGTAGCGAGGACCCCGTTCAAGTTGTCAACGTTTAAGTACTTTTTTTTGTAAGGAACAAGTGTTTTTAAAACAAATTTATCAAGTAGAAAACAAAGTCAAGTTTATAAATCAAAAACAACTATGAATTCGAAATTTTTATTATAATTAAAAAAAGAGTTTTATACTGCAAAACTGAATGCATTATAACGTGCGTTTATCGGCAAATTTAAATAATTTTCTATCATTAGACGGGTAAAAGGTCACTGTTCCTTTTTCGAAGTAGTCGTCATTAGGTAAAAACTATTGTTCTCTTTCTCTCCTGTTATGGACTGTGAATGCGCCTTTTTCTTTCATGTTGATATCCTATTCTCTTTTTGATATTCGGATTTCTTAATCGAATTTTTATTTATTTATTTATTTATTTATGTATTTATTAATTAGTTAGTTATCCTCAATGTCAAAACGTAGTAGTTCGACGAAAGGAACTAAAAAGGATGGTAAGAAGGAGAAAAAAGGTTCAAAAAGTCTCGATGTGAATGATGCTAAAATTGAAGCATTAATTCACGAACGAGAAGCGATGCGTACAAAATTGAATATTCTTTGTACAAAAATAATTGAAAACGTTAATGTTGATGATTTTTCGGAATATAAAGATATGACCGAGACTAAAATGCCATCCGATTGTTCAATTCAAACGCTCTTAGCAATGATCGATCAAATATGTCAATTTCGAATTGCATTTCTTACTTTATACAGTGAAATTGATAATGGAATACGTGTACCGATTACTGAGAAAATAACACAATTAGCCATTGAAAAACCAGAACTATTTCGAAAAAAATTAAATCCAGAACAACGATTAACATTTGTTATGAAAGAACGAGATAAGTGGAAAGAAAATGCACAAATTTTACAAATAATGTATGCAACGATTGGTAAGAGATACGTTAAATCGTTCTTTTTGAGTAAATATCATATGGTTTCTTTAAATTGACAGTTGATCAATTGGAATCAGGTGTGTTACAGAACAAAAATATTAAAGTATTCGATATATTAGCAACACATCGTTTAAATTTAACCGATGTTTCTCTCATATTCAATTCACCCATCATTCAGTCAATCGACGGAGCACAAAAAGTACGAGTAAAAAAAAATCTTGATAATGAATTGAGTAAATTGAGAGAAAAACACGCATTTTTCGATCTAACAAATACCGAAGATACACGAGAAGAGCAAAAATTACAAGAACAAGTACAACAATTAGTGTCCATACAACATAATATAGCAGATACATTCACGAGTCGTCAAAATAGTACTTCAAAAAAACAAATAAGATCCATTGTACAAAATCAAAATGCAAATGATTATGATCAGCTAGAACAACGACAATTAACACATACTCAATCTAAACGATCTGTTTCATTTGCTGATGAAGTAAATATATTAAACGAAAATAATCTCTCATCTCATAATAATGAAACATTTCAAACAGAACATTCACATGCAAATTTATCATCGACAAATTCTTCCCTAACTAATGTACAATTGAACAATGATCTTAAAACGAATAATTATGATTCATCTGATCAATTATCACCTACGTCTTTATCATCCTACAATTCATCTAATCAAAATCAAGACCGACCAAAATCATCAACAATGATCAAACGGCTACCATTCGCTACAACAACACAAGTAACAAGAATGGATCCAAATTTAAAAATGTTAATTATTAAAGAACTAAGTAAACAACCGCAAACAAATGGTTTATCACGTTCTGGTAATTATTATTTTTTTTAATAAAAACTTGCGTAATTGACTCATAGCCAAATTTTAACAGCAAAAATAATTTCATCTTTATATCATTTTGTTCTACATATGTCAGTGTTCAAACTCTGATTTAGTCCAAATTGAGATCTAATCGGAGTTTAAACGCCCACATATACATAGTTATTTTCATGTTTTTATAGTATCGTCAAATGGTTACAGTAAGAGTTACTCGTCAAATAATTGTTACAAGGACCAATATCATCAACGTGTTAATTATCATCACAATATGGTTGATCGTGATTGGAAAGTATTTGCTAAAATCATCGGCATTGACGAATCAGAAATCGAACATTGGCACTCTCAACAATTACAGTATCCAATGTCACGAGTCATTAGTGCATGGTGTACATATGGAGAGAGTAATCCCACCGTAGCTCAACTACACTCAATTGTCTCATCAAACGAATTAAATAGACAAGATTTAGCTCGATTTATCGAGCAAATGTATGTTGTATAGTTTATGTCTATTAAAATATGAAATTTTCTTTTCGAAAAGTCGAGTACTTTCTTTTTCTCTATTGTTAATCGAATAGAATTTGTTTCAATATCATGTTTACTCTACATTAAAACATTATTAAAATAATCAGACGTTTTTCTTATAGAATCATTTTTAATATTTCAGTTTAATTTTAACAACAAATAACGATATTAAAAAAATTTAAAATACACTTGAAGTCAATTTTTTAAATTCACTAAAAATTTGAATTATTAAAGAAATTTTTCATTATTATATATACATAGTCGAACTTATATGATGACGTGTATTTTCGATAAAATTATTGTTTTGTTTTGGTACTTTTAACTACACATTGATTAAAACTATAGTTGTTATCATTTTTAATAATTATACACCCCAAAATGTACATTGGTCAACATTAGCTAAAGTGACACTAAGGTATAGGCGACATAATATTCTCATGGTAAAATAAATTGTATCGATAATAGATTCAATTTTGTTTAGAGCTGTTTTTATTAACATGGCCATTAGAGTGATTAAACTTAGAATGTATCCAAAGTGAAAATCAGTGATAATGTGTCATTATTGTGAAATACTAACAACTGAATACTAAAGAAATAGCTTAAATGGGATATGTATATGTAAATGAATATTCTCTACAAAGGATGTCTCAGTATGAGTACAAAAATCAAATCAATAAAACATGTGAAGATACAAAATATTTTCTTTTGAAATATAAATAGTCTAGCCATGTCATAATGTGTAAACAAAAGAATATTGACTATTTATTAAGAAACAGTAACAAAAAACTTCTTTATTTGTAACT